TTTCGAAGATAATTACTTTTAAAAGGATTTCATCTTATACATTATCGGAGAAAAAGACATTCCGACTTCTACTCTTTCAGTTGATGAAAACCACAGGTCGCTAGCTGTTACCGTTATCGAGTTATTGCAAAAATACCCACGGTCAGTTTTTTTTTAAACAGACAGTAGCTTTTATTTCACTTTAAATACAAAATATTTTTTATATATAAATAATTTTCTATTATGGAATTTTGAGCTCTTGAAGTTGTTAATACAAATGCAGCTGAAACAGTTACAACGGAAATTGAAAGTTAAAAATAACGTTCAAATGGATATGATGCTATTGAAATTAAATATATTACAAAGAATAATTACTATAATAGTTATTAACAGTTACATAATGACTCTCAATATAATACATGATCATGATTAACTAAAATCACATTATCTGGATAATGCGATATAGTTTTTTTTTGCAACAGAAATATCACATATAGAAGTAATTGCGAAGAATTATATTGATTTCTATGTTATTTTAATAAATCAATATATTTAACATAGGTTATAATATTCCAAGAATAAAAAGACAGGAAATACTAAGAATGATAATAAATCAGAATGGTTTCAATTTCAATTTTTTTTTTAATTTAACATATTCAAACATTGAATATTAAATCTCTAAAACCAACACATTAGACTTTATGATCAGATATCATTCATAGAAATTCGTTCCAATGTTGAAGAAAAACAAACAAACTCTTTATATGGATTATTGAGATTCAAAATCAATATGATTTTAAACTTTATTACTGATGATAAAATTTTTTAGAGAGGAAAATATCCTTTAGAATTCTTATAACATTTAACTTCTCTAATAGAAAACAAAGTGTCCACGAAGATAAATCATAGATCAAACAATATGTAGATAGATATTGATAAATTTTTACAAAAAATTTTAATTAATCGAAAAGTTGTTCTTCGCAAACTGTATTGTATATCCTCTATAATTTCATTCAAAACTATGATCATAAATCGATGTCGAATTTATACAGTAGTGGCAAAAGAAAGAGAACATATTGTTATTTGATGTTTGAATATATGACAATATTCTATTTCAACGCCATCTTTCATAGTCTTCTTGTGTTTGGTTTTTTACGCGTAACCAATTAAAAAAAAATTTCATGAAGATTCTTTTGCATATTTATCGACTTGATCAGTAATTTTGATACTTTATAAAACTCTTATTTTCATGTTTACTAATCGTTTTTTATTTATTCGACGTTTACCAACATTCATCATTGTCTGGCGTCATAATCTAATAAATCCTATAACTCAAATCTCAACATCTCATTCTCAAGAACTTTACAATTGGAATGTAGCAATGACACAATCGAATAAACGTAAAACACCTAAAAATACACTTGTACTATTCGATAAATTAATTACTCAACATTCAGATATAACACCGGATTTTATTACTTATCTTCTTGTTTTGGGTGCTTGTATACGTTTAGGTAATCTTAATGAAGGAAAACGTATTCATGAATATATTCAACAAAGATGGTCAACAACAATTGAAAAAAATGAAGAAATTAAAATACATACGTGTCTTGTACAACTTTATGCTACATGTGGTGATTTAAAAACAGGTTAATAATGAAGATTTAAGATAGTAAAAAACAAATAATTTGTTTTTCTTTATAGCTGAAGAGATTTTCTATAAAGAACATCTTGATCAACATGCTATACCAGTAAATACTTTAATGAAAGGTTATATAATAAATAATCGAGCGGATTTAGCTGTTCAACTTGCTGAATGTTTACCAAAGAATGAACGAAATATTGTTACATTCCTTTTATGGGCAAATGCTATAGCACAAATAGGTGATATTCAAATGGCTGATCGAATTCATAGAGAATTAAATACTTTATCGTCTTCAACTCAATCTTTTTTTGCTCATGATCGTAGATTAATTAATGCATTAATTGATGTATGTCATTTATAAAATTTTGTTGTTATTTGTTTTCATAATTCATATTAATCGTTTGTAGATGGATGGAAAATGTGGAAATATTATACGAATGGAAGAAACATTTAAAAATATGAAACAACCAGATATTATTTCATTTACAGCTATGGCTAAAGCATATATTGTTAATGTATATCAGATTTTGTGTTTTTTTGTTTTTATTGATAAATAAAAATCTTATTTTATGTTTAGGATTTACCTGTTAAAGCTCTTACTGTATATGATCATTTAAAACATACTAATCAAATTGGTTGTGATGAAGTTATTTATTTAGTTGCATCAAATGCAGCTGGTAAATTAGGTTTATTATCTCGTGCTCGTTCAATTCATGATGATATTATATCAAGTGGAATACCATATGAAACAAACGAAAAAATTCTCAATACACTGTAGGTATGTGTTTAAGGTCCTCCTCCCCGAAAAAAAAAAGTCAATATTCGTGAGAAAAATCAAAAATTGAGATGATAGTCTGAAATCTGCTCTCTCATAAACGACATGGTTTTCTATATGGCACCTCGTTTTTTGCCGACACTTCTGATGATTTATGTTACCTTATACTTAGAAAATATGTTTTTCTGATCACAGATCCCAAAATTCTCAAAGGAGCTTCGTTATAGTCGATTGCTTTTTCTTGTATCTGAAAGAACATGTAAAGCTGCAGCACCTAATAGAGCCCATTTTTCGATGTATTGAATTTGTCATCCTTTTCTCTGCATAAAAAGTAAGAATTTGAAAAAAAAAGGTACTGCAGTCTGACATACTCTTGCAAATAAAAAAACAAATGAATCTACAGAAAGTAGACACGTAGAGAATTTCAAGTTGCCAAATGAGCTATCTTTGACCTTTGTTTGTTGAATATTTCCTGAAATCATTATGATGTAGGGCTGAAAATTTCTTTCAATTTAAATGCACCTAGCCCGAGATCGACTTTTAAGGGGAGGAACTTTATATATAAATTATTTGAAATAGAATTTCTTATTTTCTTTTTTAGAATGGATACATATGGAAAATGTGGAGATTTAAATTCAGCTAGAGAAATTTTTGATAAATTAAAAATAAAAAGTAAACCAAGTATTTCATCAATGAGTATGTTAATTATTTGAAATATTATTTGAAAAAAAAAAGCAACAAATGAAATTATTTTAGTTAACATATATGGAATAAATTCTCATGCATTAGAAGCTGTTGCTTTATTTTATGAAACAAAAAATAATTTATCAGGCAATATTCAATCAATATTACTTAGTGTTTTGACTGCTTGTGCTCATGGTGGTCTGATAAGAGAAGCACAAAAAATATTTGATGATATTCCCACTGATAAACGAACAGTCAAAATGTGGAATGCACTTGTGAGTGTGTAATATAGAAAGATCCATCTCTATTTTGTTTTTGATAAATACAGGATGTGTCATCAATAATAATTACGATAACTAATTTGAATATTTCCATTTCAGTTCAATCAAATGAACTGATGAGTTTCTCTATGTATGATAAAGATCTATTTCGACTTTCTTTTCACAGAAATAACATAACCAAATACCATTTTGAAGTATTATTATTAATATCCTTAAAGAAATAGTAGTTGTTGTCAAATAACAAAATGCATGTTGAGTGATTCATAGATAATTTTCAGTTTTCACGTAAGACAGTAACAAAAAATCAGCTGACTTGATAGAATTAAAATAGAGATACTTCATTTTTTTTTGTTGCATAGTTAGTTATAGCCTACCCTGGATTTTTGTCACAGACTCATTAAAACTGTGTAAATGGTTTAAAGAAAATAAATCAACATAGATTTATATCATTTAGCTATGAAAGAAAAAACGTTTTCGCTAATCACCCTATTGATTCTTATTCAAAATAAAAATTGTCTTCTTCATTTGTATATAAAAATGATTCGAATGCCAGCACTAAATTGGTTGACAAGTAAATTACCCGTGCTCATGGATCTCTGGAG